ACTGCTAGTTTGCAATATGTCTCATAGCAGAAACGAATGCCGAATATATGTAGGTAATTTGCCGCCCCGACATAAGAACAAAAGATATCCAAGATTTTGTTTATAAGTTTGGAAAGTAACTTTTGTTGTTTAAAAAATCGACGAGGACCACCCTTGCCTTCGTAGAATTTGAGGATGGCGCGGTAAGTCTTAATTATCAAAATGTATATGATCAGGTTATTTATTTAAACTTGTTACCCTTAGCGACGCTGATGATGCTGTAAGAGCTCGAGATGGTTATGATTACGATGGTATCGATTACGAGTTAGATTTCCCAGGGGAGTGGACCAGGAGGTTTTCGTGGAAGATACAGGAAATAATGATAGAGGTAGTGGAAGTCGACATGAAGGTCGTGGAGGACGAGGACCACCAGCAAGAAGATCTCAGTTCAGAGTCCTCGTTACTGGTAATATTTTAATATTATTTAACTCTAATTGTAAAGTATCCTTAATGTTTACTATAAGAAAATATTACTTTAATATTTATGCTTTAGGCCTTCCACCATCCGGTTCTTGGCAAGATCTGAAAGATCATATATGCGCGAAGCTGGTGATGTTTGTTATGGCTGACTCTTTTAAAGATGGAACAGGTGTTGTTGAATTTTTACGCCATGAGGATATGAAATACGCTGTAAAGAAATTAGATGATTCCAGATTCAGATCACATGAGGTATATTATTTTTGGAAAATTCATTCGGTGATAATTATGAAATATTGAATATTCATTAATTTAAGGGAGAAGTTGCTTACATAAGAGTAAAGGAAGATGCAGGTGGAAGTGACCATCGTGATTATGGAAGGTAATATTTATTATTTAATTGTTGAGCAAAAATATTAAACATACCTGTAATATTTTTCTATCTTTGGTAGATCAAGATCCGGTCACTCACTCCACGTAGAAGGAGTTCTCCCACATATTCACCAGTTCGTAGAAGCTACTCAGATCTCTCTCGGATAGATCTAACTATGAATGTCTTTGAATTTTATATTAACTCTTCTTACATTTCTTCTAAGAAGTACATTTTAAAGGAAAAAAGTAACGAAGGACATAATTATATGTATGTATGAGTAATATAATTGTACTAAAAAGAAAGGGAAATTTCAAAGATTATTTTATAAGAACGATGAAATTGTGAATAGTGTGAACTTATACTACATTCCTAGAAATTGAGAACATTATAATCATTCAAGTTGGGTTCTCTCTGGTCATTTTTGTTTAATTATTTTTAAGCGTCAACAAACATTACTTTGATCATAACTAAATAGGATTTTTATTTTGCTTTAAGATATTTGTGTACAGTACATTGAATTTTAGATATAGCGTTTAAATATTTTTTGCTTTTAGTGTTTTAGAATATAATGCTTCTATTAGTTTCATAATTTGTTATTAAATAGTTCCATAGGTAGCATCATCCTTTATACCAGAAATAAGATCATTATCCTAAATGTTTTATATTTTAAACTTATTAACAAATGCCATTTTTTGTTTTCCAACATATTTGCGGAGGACAAATCTGGATTATGGAAAAGTATGGATTATAAAATAATAAATGGAACACTAAAATTACACATTTACAAAAGGATTTTTCATTTGGATTTGTGGATACTTTTGGAATTATAAGGATGTGTGCAGGATCTTTGAAAAATTCATAGATAGGAATGATACAGGATTGCAAGGATGTTCAGACCTTTGTTTCAAGGGCTTCACCCTGAGATAATTATAATCATCTCTTCTTGTCAGTAACTGGATCCTGGGATTTAGGAAGGACTTACGGATGGATTTCTGATGGATTTTTTTTGTTACTGGATTTGGTAATTGATACGTCCAATTTAATGCTATATTTCTTATCGCATGGTTAATGTATAAATTGCCAAAGTCTCTAATTCTTGTTTTTTAAATAACTTTATTAATTATAAGGTGCTATTTGTGATGGGCGCATTATTCTAATGTTTCTAATTCACATTTTAGATGTTAAATGTTTCATTTGAACTAATGCACATATGTATTAAAATGCATGCATATAAGTGTGGGCTATTAAAATACCGGGGAGACCAGAATTAAGGTCTTGTAAATACATCTTTAAGAATATTGGAATTTTTTTTGGAAACATTAATATTCCTGATCCATCCATGTAATTGCCAAGTTTTGAAATCCATCAAGTTTTTAATTTTGTATATATGTTTTTAAAGTATATGTGAGTGAGAATAAATATTTCAGGAGTTAAATCATTAAATTTTTTTGATATTCCAGCACATCGCAAGAATTGCACTTACATAATGGACATGATTAAATTAAATAAATTTATATGTGCTAAATAAAAAAAGGATGTTTCATTTATATTTTTATATTATTATAAATTATATTTGTTAGTTATTTTTAATAGTCTGTAAATCCATATTCCAGAGATTTACAATTTAAAATATAAAAAAACTTAATACTAAAATGTCAGAGTAAGTAACTCACATGAATGGCTATCAATAACACTTAACCATATAAAAATTATTTGATCAGTGATATTAAAGGTTAGTATCATCAAATTTATAGAAATTACTACATGTTCTTTGAAACATGCGTTTACAAACATTTTACAAATTGTATCATGTAACAAAGCGCAAAAATCAATAAAATTATTATATATACACATCACCAAATCTGACTTGTTCATAAATACATGAGTTAATCCTCTTAATACAATAATATATACTCTTTTACATAATACATTGAAGTCCGTAATATTTGTTATAAATCTCGCTTTACACAGCACATATAATCAGAGGTCTTTCAATAGAGCACTCTTTGCATTTTTTAACTTATCTAGTCTTTTTATTAAGTGATTATTTGCCGTTTCAAGTTCTTCAACTCTTGCTTGTGCTTCACGATGCTAAGAATATCAAAATTCATTAATATAATAAAGTGATTTATATTTTTTTACGATCACCAGTTTAAATGATAACTGATTTAAAAAAATTTATGTAAATTTTAAATACATCTAATTTTACCTCTCTTTGTAGTTTCCTTCGATCCGTTTTAAGTGCTTCTTCTGATTTTTCAGATGCCTCCGCAGCACTTTTATATCTAACAACCTGAGATTCTAATCTAGCAACAACAGCTTGTAAAGAACTAGTCTCCTGCTCCGATTTTTGCAGCTTGAATCTCATCTCAGACAATTGTTTATTTGCTTCTCCTAGAAACAATATTAAAGAAATATCAGTCATGGATGTAAAAATTCAAAACAAATCTAGAACTGAAGGGATGCTTACTTTGAACACTTTCAATATCATCAAATTCGCCCAACGGTCCATTGGAAATACCGCGTTTTCCGGAAGATCTAGCATTATGCAGTTCTTGTTGCAGGTTTTGGATTTCTTGTTGCATGCTCTTTCTTTCTTCAGCAAAATTCCGTAATCGGAAGTCTTGAGGTGAAATTTACGATCATTAAGCAAAACTTCGATCATCAATGCAAGAATTTATAAAATAGGTATATTTACCAAGAGATCCTTCGCCAGCTCCAGCCAGCAGTGCGGCGCCTTCTTTGGTGACTAAAGTTCTTTTGGTGATTTCCTTGTTTTCATCATCACATTCACCACCCACAATGACCAACCCTTGCTCTGCTATAAGTTCATCACGTTCTTCCAACTGGCCTCTGGTCAAGGAAAGCTCTTCCTTTAGCTGTGTTACAGATCTTCGCAATTGTTCGCATTCTCGACATTTTTCTTTGTGCTCACGCTAAAAGAAGAAAAGATTAATACTAATTTTCATTATAGTAAAGTATAAATAGTGTATAATTGAATACCTGTAGTTGTGAATGGGCTTCCTCCAAGTCTTCAAGCCTATCCTTATGAAGTTGCAATTGATAACTTGCTGCAGCTTTATCATTATCAAGCTGTGCATTGGCAATCATTGCTTTTCGAAATCTATCTTCAACACTTCGCAATTCTTGCCAAGCATCTCTATAATAAAAAATGATCAATAATTATCTTACATTAATTCAATTCCTTGGCAAATTTTCATTTTACCTTTGACCATCTTCTAAACTATCTTCTGAACTCCTTCTTGATGATAATGAGTTGCCATGTGATTTATTAATTGAAGAGTTTATTGATCTAGTGCTTCGTAAAATAGGATCTAGGGAGAAGAAGACATATAATCGTCAATTCTAATAATACTACAAATATATACATTTTATAAAATAAAGCAAATGGAATACGAATAGTTAAAGTTATAATAAAACTTAAATACTTGAGTAAAAATTGATATTATTAACTGATCCGAGAAGAACCAACAAGTTTACAAAAATAACGAGATTTTCTAATTGAAGAAACATCCCAAAAGCCACAAAAAATAATCTCAGACTTATAGAATAGTGGAATAAACAGATTAATTATTTATTATTAACCATTTTGCTGCGAGAATATATTTCACAGGAGTGAAACTGCTGTACAAGCTAGCGAGCCCCCCAAGATTTTCCAATCATTATCAATAAAAATGTATTTAAAAATTAAAAATTACACTTCCAAATGACTAAACATTGTAATAAATAAATAATAATAATTTAACTGGTGATAAATCTTCATTTTAACGAACATTTTATGTCGTCTATGGATGACAAAGGTTTAATAAACTGATAATTAAAAGTATATTGAATTAACTTTAATAAAAGTATATTAAATTTAACGGCTAATAATACTTTGCTATGGCAACAGAACAGAACAATTAAAAGACAAGACATATTATATAATATTACTGGTAGAGATCGTTGTAGTTTGGTTGTTAGTAAAAAAGTGCAAGTATAAGATTCTTATAAGATTGGAGTTGAAAGAGTTGTTTATTGAAGAATAGTTTTAAATCAGTTGCATTTGATTAAGGTAATCCTGAATATAGAAAGAGGAGTTTATAATGAATTATATATATTACATTGGGGATTGACGAGTCAATGTAGCCAAGTCATTTAAGCTTAAATTAGGTAAAAATCTCGGAATTTGAAACACCCAGCTGTAAGTCTGTCAATACTTGTACATTGACACCTAAAAGTTGTCTCAAAGCAAATCCGAGTGGAGTTGTCTCACAGGATTTGTCATATCCGACTTCCCTAAATTAGTACTAAATCTGTTAACATGCAGATATTTGCTTGAGATTTTTTACTAATACAAAGATTTGGGTCGAAAGAAGTGGTCTTTTTCTCGTCTAACAGCCAGTTCTAGGACTTTCCAGGTATATAATGTCTCAAAATAATGCTAATTTGCATTCTATATTCTGTATACGATAATGTTTGTCCGTAAATGAGCTCTTTCAATGGTATACAACCAGGTAAAAATATTTAGTATTATATTATAACTTTTACACAATTATGATTTCATAATTGTGTAAAAGTAATAGTATGCTAACCGAACTAACTGATGTATAATTATCGAAAAGAAAATAATAAAAAAAATGTAAGGTATTATTATTTTGTGAAAAATATTATACACAAAGATTTGTTCTTATTTCATATATAAGGTTTACTGCATTATTTTCATATAAAAATAAACATATTCAAAGAATTCTATATTTTCTCTTCAAAAATAATTACAAAATTGATTTTGATCCTCAAGTTTTTTGTCAATTTGAGATTTGTATGCATATTGAAATGCACAAAATAGTGATTATTATAATAAAATGAACAAAAATGTTGGAACTATTTTGTAAACTATTTCCAAAGTCTTAATAAATCCTTAGATATGTTAACAACACACTAGAGAACACGTTCGTGTCAAGTATTATGTTTCAAAGTTTTCGGAGTTGTGGAGTTAAGTGGATATAACTTCTTCTCTGAAGCGGAGTCAAATCCTAACCGATCCGGCTTCGGATATGATAAGCCCACCTCTATATGTATTATATTGACGAGTCTTGTGGAGCCAATACAACATATACATTCTTAAGAGAAGACTCATGGAGACTGTATATTACAAGCTACATGGTAAAAGATACCAAAAAACTTCGTTTGAACCAAAGATGCAGAATAAAATTACGAATAAAATAATTTAGATCATTCTGATGTTATTCATCTCAACAATCCTTTTATAAAATAAAATCAATCAATTATTACCGCTAGCTGACTGCATATCATAGGCTCGATCAGCAGTTTCATCTTGGTCCCTTTGGGCCCTTTCCAACTCCCTCATTCGGATCTCCCTTGCTTCGACGCGCGCCTGCCTCCGTGCCGCTAGCCTGGCTTCGGCCTGAAATAAAATAAGGGTAGATCATGAATAAAGCAGCTGTTTTAGAATAATAATGGATTCGGTGATAATAAATTAAAATACAGTGTTAAAGGAATATGCGACTTGGGTAATAGAATAATTCGTGTAAACATAAAGGAATCTAGATTGCTGGATCATAAAAAATATTTTTGTTACCTTAAGTGTATGGGATACTATTGTAATTGATACCCAAAGACTGTAAGAATAAATCTTATTGCTTCTCAAATTTAAATATTGACTGTTTGATAGTAAATTAAAACACAATATTTTATAGATATTAATAATGTATAATAATTTCATTAATAATTATTATATCTATAATATAAAAATAAATCGTAAAATCTGTTGGTAAGCGCATAACTCAACAACGCCTGAACCGATTTGGCCAATTATCTTTTAAAAGTCCAAGGATCCAATTGCCGGGAAAACCCTAAAAACAGCCCTTTTCTTTTTCACATACAAAATTATTTCATATTTTAATATTTATTATTTTCATATTTTTGCCATCAGATACGGAATATTTACTCAAGTCAATGGAGCGTTTTGGGTCTGAATTTTTTTACTGTGCTACAATTTGTATGAATTTTTGAAATTAGGTTCATCTTACTCTCAAGTTCAAAAGTGAAAATAATTTAGACTCCTTTGCCATTTCCCGGGGGGATGACATCCCTCTCAGTGGTATAATTTCATTTTTTTTTTTCAAAATAACGCAGGATATCAATAAAAGAACTAATTATAAGAAAATAAAGTTTTATAATGTTTTTCAAAAAAGCAAATACTCGTCATTTTATTAAAAGCAGCTGTACATTTAAAATCCATATGGATGTATGTATATACATTTCGGTATAGAGTCTATACTATAGATTGTAGTATAAAAAAACATAATAATTTTAACTAATTGGTAAATATCAGTATAGGTTATTACAAAAATTGGAACTTTTGAATTGTAAACATAAGTACAGGACAACGTCTGTCGGGTCATCTAGTTATTAATAATAAAACTTATGACTATTTATGCTAACTACATCAATTATATTATATTTTTTAACAATTTCTATTTAAAAAAAATTATATTTGTTCGGGTAGATTACAAGAAAGCTGGATTTTTGAACTTAATAAAACAGACGTTTGCAAAAAATTCAAACATTAGTAAGAATATTGTAATTGTTACTCAAATGTGACGAGAATAATTTTAATGGTTCCTCAATTATTTGTGTAAAACATATAGATTCCATTAGTACATTAATTGGATCAATTTGGAATAGCCAAAAGAACCCAATGTCAAGAGCCACCAAAAAGACAGCATCAGCTCAAAACCAAAATGCAGTAAACATTACTTCCAAAAAATCAAATATATTTTATATATATTATTAAGTATTAGTAAATATATTATTAAATTCAAATTCGAGTATATGCAGAAATATTATAATTGTTATTCAAATTCGACTAGAACAAATCTTATGCCTTCTTAATTACATTTACATAAAATCCTGATGATCTGACTTGTTCTATTTCAAAGTAATTTTATAGAAAAGACATAAATAGCCGTAATGTTAAGAAACACAATTTTTTTAAAAAAGTCCTAACAATGTTAACAAAAAGTATTTACATTAATAAGTGCATTTAAAACGCAAAATAGATGATCTGTAATATATTCATACATTTTTTTATCTATCAGTACATTTTTATTCGCCCTTCAGATTATATTAGCCATTTATAGATTTACCATTTAATTTTTGCCAAAGTATTATATTGCAAGGATATCAAGAATACAAAAATACATCCATATGTGACTTTTAACTGAACAGAAAAAGAATTCACCCTAGTAGTCAGCACATGTCGGGGGCATCGAACTCAAATCACCCCTATGAATTCAAAAACTGCCCCTTATTTTCTTATCTGAAGCTTATAATATATATTTCATTTTAACAAGTTCCATGACCTAATTCAAAACTAGTAAATGGGAAATAAAATCTTGTTTTGGACTCTAGGAATAAGTATAAACATATTTTTCATGAACACACTTTTTTAACACACCCCTTTGTAAAAGAAGACTTTCATTTTTGAATGGCAAAAGTAAATTGTAAAAAAGCTAGACATCTCGCTCTATATTTAAAATGTTGACATTGACATGTTTTCCAAATTTATGTGTTATGTAAAATAAATATATATTATCTATTCAATTTACAAGTACATGAAATTTCCACGAACCATCAGCGCTCTTTACAAATAATAATGCTACCTACAACACTAACATCTTGTACGATTTAACTACATTTTTATTTAATTTCTGATAAACTAAAAATAGCATTCAATGTTATTACTTACTTCAGATACACAAAACACACTATTAAACCGAAAGATATTTATAAACTCAAAGAATTTTTCCTCAAAAACACATTTTGAATCTGATCAAACCTAATAAAATTGGTACATATTTCAAAATTGACACAGTAGTATTATCATTTCAGCATTTTTGTATTTTTGTATCTCATGCCTTTGTGATAAGATAACAATTTAATATTTCTGCGTCCAAGTACAAAATAATTTAACCATACATGTTCCATGAGTCACTTTTTTCATGTGATTCATCATGGGTTGAGTAAAATTATTTATTCTATATATTCAAAGAATTATGATCCATAGATCTGTGTAAGAAAAATACAAAAACTTTATAGTAACTACAACACTAAAACGTGATTTTAATAATTATTTTATATATATAATATGATATTAAAGGTTTTGTAGTCAGACAATGGGAAATAAGATAGAGACTCAAATTATGTAATATTAAAGATAGTGTTGGAATATGACATACTTTATCTAAAGTGGAAAAGCATGTAAGTAACCAGAAAAATTAGTTATAGAAGATCAAAATAAATATTAATTCAATAAATGATTAAATGTTCAACAAGAATAGAATAGTTGCAGAAGGTCAACATAAAAATTGATTCAATCAATGTTCTGTAGTAAAAATTACAACCCTTTACTATATTCTGTACCACATGAATTGAAAAGTTTTTTGACTATTTTTTAAAAAAATATATCGTAAATCAACGTATTAATATTAATATTATATTAATAACCTATGACAAACCATACTAGTATAATTAGAGATTAGATTATGATTAGAATTATGATTTTGTTGGGTATGAAACCCCAATAACGAAATTTAGTCAAATCAACGAAATTGAATAGTATTTGTAAGTGGAATATATTATAATTATAATATTTATGAATTAATGTTCCATTTTTTAGACCAAATTTACTAAATAAAATCTTGTCGGCATTTTGAGACGTAATTATCAGTGTTACTTCATAAACATTCTACAAACATAAGTTTTGAAATATTTACTGATTAAATTAATATTTTTAAGTAAATATATGAGGTATAAATATGAAAATACCTCCTAATAATAATAGAATATAAATATGAATAACATCAAGTAAAAAAGAAAGATAAATTTTTGAAGCATGATTTATTTTGTTTAGACTTTTCGACGTTCAATGTTTGCTATCATCAGTGAATAGGAATAATTATTTTTAGTGAAAGAATTATTTTATGAATCTTAAGATTTTTTTATTATTTGAAGTAAATACTAGGTTTCAGTTTCTACTTAGTAAATTTAAAAAAAAAAAAGAACTCATGATTTATATCTTTAGCTTCAGAAAACCAAACACACAATATATTTATAAAAAAAATTGAAAATTGAAAATTCCGGTAGAAAACAGTACAACTATCAGTGATTGTAAATTAATAATTATGAATAAATTTTAACTTTAACTAACCAATTAGAAATGATTTTTAATTAGATTTATTTCCAAATGATTCCAATTAGAATTATTTTATAAATCTTATTATTTTTTAGTATTTAAAGTACAAACTATGTTACAGTGTCTATCTAGTCAAATCTATTAAAATAAATAGAATTCATATGATTTATATCTTTAGCTTCAGAAAAGCTAACTATTTTTTTTTAACTAATGCAGAATCCGAATTCTCATTTTTCTGTTTTAAATATACCGTAAGTTTGTTTCTTCAATATTATTCATATTCACTGATGATGGCATAAAACTGTATGTCGAAACGTCTGGAAAATAAGAAAAACAATCTTTCTTTTTTACTTGATGTTGTTGACCTCTAAGATTTGATTCATACAACTCAACATCAAAATTTTACTACTCTTATATGTATAAGACATCATCCACGTACACATATTTCATTCTTCCCTCAATGCTTAATTAATAATAATTTTGGGGAAAAAACTATATTTATTAAACTTATACATACACTACTCCAAGCTCCTTTGACTGCCAAATTTCTAATCATCCCCACTCGTTGGGGATGCAAACAATCTGACAAAGATGAACGTCTACGAATTTGACCAAAATTTAACATTTTTTTAATAGTCTTCTGAGCCTTCCTAATATGAAACAATTTCGGTAACAAAGAAAACAATAATAGACCAAAGCGACGTATCCCTGACGTTTCAATGGTAATCATGGTAATAATAATTATTATTTTCTTAAAAAAACTGCCTTCCAATTAATTTTAATAATATAAACTTGTATATATCAAAACAAATTTGGTTTATGTCTTAAATTCTCTTGTTTAAAATGATGAACTATTTGTATGTATAACTAGAATCCTCCCACTACAGTCAATTGACGCTTTTTTATTACAATCACTCAATTTTAGAGTTTAGATTTTCACTTAATATTTTATTGGTTTTCCAATATTTTATTGGTTATCTTTACTTCAAACTCTTCTGAATTTACATTTAAGACTGAACCAATCCCTTCAAGGAAATTTCGACAGTAGGAAGTGCATGTTCAAGATCAAGGAAAAATATTTGTTCTTGTTGCAACGCCCAAAATATCTTCTCACATAGGTAGTGTTCGTGTACTTGCCGGGTCAAAGATTCATAAATGAGCCAAAGATGAAATATTCATTATAAAGTGAAAGCAGAAGCTTTAAAAAACATATTAAAGTATTATTTTCTAGCTTTGCTATAAGGTGACATTGAAATTTATCAATTTATTTGAATATTGCACTCCAACATTATTTTAATAAATATAGAAAAATATTTTTTTAATCAAAATCAAAAAATTAATAATCAAAATATTGCTATAAATGAGTCAAAGGCGAAATCTATGTGGTAAAGTGAAAACAGAAGTATTAAGCTATAAGGTGACTATGAAATTTATGGATTAATTTTATTATTACACTCATTACACATTACATTATTTTAATAAATATAGGATTTTTATAAAATCAAAATAAAAATATTAATAAACAAAATATTGCCATAATGATAAGAAATTTGGCAGTCAAAGGAGCTTGGAGTAGTGTATGTATTTCTTAAAAATTTCATACCGAAAGTTATTATTAATTAAACTTTTTTTAAATTAAGGAGTGTGTATGTATGTGCTTAATATGGCGTATATTTAAATATACATATATTGATATTATTATTGACAATATATTAGAAATAATTCATTTTGATATTGAAATATATGAATACAATTTTGGAAGTCAATAACATCAAGTAAAAAAGAAGGACTATAAAAGAATGACTATTAAATCCATTAATTCATTTGATTATTACCGTTTTACATTATTTAAATAAATGCAGAAAAAGCAAATAATTATTTTTAGCAGAAATCTTGAAACAAAAATTAGAAGATTATTTTATAGTTCTGCTTCAAAATGACTAATAAACTCATTAACTCATTGGAACATTCAATTAATTATTTTAATAAATTCTGAAGAACAAACAGTTATTCTCAATTATTAAAATAAAACATGCTGCACAAAGATTTTTTTTTAAATATACTAATTTATTTTAACGAAATTTTAACTCAAAATGATTATTAAAGTAAAATATGCTTTTATTCCAAATGATATTAGATAAATGATATATTTAGATATAAAATAAAATAAACGAAGCAATAATGTATGGAAAAATATCGAATAATATCTAATTTTAATCTGAATTAACAAAATAGTAATAAGCTTTAATAGTACTTTAAATTTAAATAATAAAAAAGTGGAATTAAGAATCTCAAAACAATGCAAAATAAACATTATATTCAAAACTTCTGAATAAACATTATTCAAAAATTTTGAATTTACAAAAAAAACAAACATTTTACATTAAATTTTACAAAAAATGTATCAAGTCCAATAATATCAAACAATCGTTGAAAAACAAAGTGAAACTTTTAAAATTGATAAGTAAAATATGTTTTATTCTAAAAAATAAAAAAATTGTGAAATTAAGAACTATGAAAGTAATTATTATATTTCAAAACTAACTGAAATCACAAAATTAAAATATTTCTTTTATTAATAAATTATAAATTCGCCATTTGTCTATTTAATATATTCATTACCGGTTTAATGCGAAAAATAAATTAGTGAGATGATCACAATAAGCTTTTTGGGAATTTCAAAGGCTTTATTTACCTACATTTCCATAAAGAATGTCGACAATAACGTCACAAATAAAATATGTGTAGTGCTTTAAATTATTCAAATACATACGTTTGTAAAACTGAATATTTATAATGCCCAAAATTGCAAAATGAAACCCAATACATCAATAAATACAGAACCGTTATTGATATATTTTGCTCTATTGAATGAGTAATTTTTCTTTAATAAAATTACAGTACAGTACAGTAGTATTTATTGAAAAACATGATTACGAGCTCTTACTAATTTTATTTGCATCCATAACAATAAAATATTTATCCCAATTAAATATATTAGAATATAATTAGACCTCATTAAAAGTATAACTCATATCCAAATTTAAATTGTGTGCGCATTTGTTATTATATATAAATTTAGTTGGTAATAAATCTTAAGCAATTTGATATGTTTGGAATTTGTGTATATATATAAGCAATACAGTAAACATTAATATAAGATTGTGTGCATAATTTGAACTATATTTTATTTAGTTATAATTAAATGTTGTTCTAATAATTCAAATATTTTAGTCTCATATATATTATATTTAAGAATGGTTGTGTTTAATAGTAGAAAGGATAGATTAGGATAATTAAATAAATAAGTAACCATAAATTATTTTTTTTTACTTAGTTTACTGTTTTAACTATATAACTATTTTCAAACTATTTTTCTACCTGACGTATATATTTAAATTTAAATAAAAAATACCCAACTAATTATAATTCAAAAAGCGTATTATAACGTTACTCGAATATCCGCGCGAACATACAAAGTAGCAAATTCTTTTGGGATTTGAGTTTATTTGTTGACCTTCTGTGACAAATACTAAATTAGAGAGCTACTTTCTTTATAAAAAATTTACTACATAACTTATTTTTGTGGAATTGAAAAATAGTCCTATATTACAATTACAATTTGAAAAACACAGAAAATTTAATAACGAAAATCGTGTTATAAAATATCTCATATCAATAATATAAATTTTGTTACTTTATATCCAAAAGAACACACAAAAACAATAACTGATAAGACGAGTTTCAATTATTAATTCATTTTATAATAATATTGAAGTTGGGTTCCAATTATTAGGTGTTACACCATATTTTCTCAACATCTCAAACAGCCACATATTTGGCTATGTTTAAGTTTACTTTATAATTATAATATTCAGTTTATTACATTAGAGTATTTAGAATTGATATTCAATTGATTGAATTCAATCAAATTCAAAACAATGTCTAACATGAATCTCGAGTATGTAATTTAAGAGCATAATTTTAAATCCAACAGCACATACAATGTAAAGTGCATTCTAATTATTAAGAGTTGCATCAAAAAAGGTTTTTATTAAATACAAATGTATTATGATTTAAATTTTGATATCAAAAGTTGATGCAACTAATATATATTTCAATCAAATTTAAAAAAGTGCTACAAAACAACTGGAGAATGTTTTGTTAGGAATATAATCTACACATAATAATATATAAATAGAGATCTAATTATTAAGAATTTCATCAAAAAGATTTTTTATTTTGAATAGGAATTTATTATTCTTCTAGTCTTGAAATAAGGAAATCCCTATTGATGTAACCGATATATCATTCAATTGAATTCAAAGGAATTCTAGAAATCCAACTCAAAGATGTAATTTTAAGAATATTACTTTAAATTTAACTACTAATTTTTGTAGCAGATTTCTGTCTACTAAAAAATAAGAACATTACTAAAATTCATTACTAATTACTAAAATATTGACTACCAGCTACTAATTGTACTGATATCAATGTTTATAGCTGCAAAAGCGTGTTTCAAAACTATTAACATTAGAATAAGCAATTCTGCAGAAAGTAACAGTTCAATCTATCTTTAGCTTTTTCAAAAGATTGTTATATACAAGGAACCTCAAAGAAATAATCTTTCTCAAATAAATATAAGATTCAATATAAAATCTTACCTCTTTAGCAATTTGATCTAAAGCTTGATCTTCTGCAGAACATCTTGGCACAGTACGCCTTCTACCTCCTCCTACACCACTCAAATCCATTTTTTCAAGTTTTAAGATGTTGGACTAAATCCTAGAGATAAATAAATATATTAATATATGTAGTAGGATATAAATACATGTATATATATATATATATATATATATATATATATATATGTGTAAGATTAGAAACATCAACGGAATAAGATTAAGAACTAGCACATAAGTCTACACTTGATAAATTTAAATTAGTTCATAATTGACTTAATAATTAAATGAATGTTTAAATATAATATAATACAATATTGTATAATAAATACATCACTATAAGAAGAATATAAAGAATTTTTGGCCCACAAATTAATTTAGAGATGCGGTGAAGTCTTAAGTGAAGATTATCTTTAATATCTATTAATGTAATAAATACATTAACTGTATTTTATTTATAAATTTATTCTTATAAAGATTTTTTACACTAGTGCATTATCTGTTAAACACAAAAGCAAAACTGATATCTGAATATCAAGTAAACTTCACAAATGTTTTAATTTGTGGGTCGAACATGTTTCGAAAACAAAACAGGTTGCTCTGAATTTTTAGATATTCTAGTCTATTTATAGTGCAGCATATTTTGAGAAAATCTATTAAAATAGCATCAATTTAGATTTAAATAATATATATTCAAATATATAGCAAGATGATAAAGGAAATATAAAAATGACAGCTAAAATATTAATTATGTATATGAAGAAGTGTTTAGGATTATAATTATATTATACAGATTTTATAATGTATAGATTAGAGTATCAATTGAAGGTATCAAATTAATTGCTATAAATTAGGCCATGATTTAAAAATATATATTCAAACTATTTGTGATAGTATGCATCTTACCTAATCAGATTTTATTCTATCCAAATTCACACCACAACATTGTTTTCATTATAAGCTAAATATTAATTTCATTTGAGTTTATTATTAGAATCTATGACACTTTAATCACAATCAATAGTTGTCAATTACTAGCATAGGATTCGTGTCAAAAAATTGCCCAATATATTCACAGAAGACCAGAATTATGCTGATTGATATGTGACATTGCAGTAAAAATTTATAAAAACTATATATAACTTAAAGAAAGACTAAATGCCGATCTAATTAATCGGACCTCTCAATAAATAAAACCATAAACACATGGTAAATCATTGAAACTTTTCAAAGAAATAGTCATTTCTGCAATGCCACCATCTTGAATTTCTTATTGTTGCACAAACTTGTCACGGGCGGTATCGATAACCTTATCGATAACGATTATTTGCAGGAAAACTGTTATTTTAAAATTCAAATATTAAAAATGGCTAATAAAAAATACACAATAATAAATTAACATGTCTACAATCTACCCAGAATCTATTTCATTATTGAATATAATTTTGCGAAGCCAACACTCTTGTCAATGTAATGATGAACTTCTTCATAGTAGGGTCATTTTAATTTAATAAGAATAAGCGATTGCAATTGATATTTATTAAATTCAACAATAAAGGATAAGGACTTAGGTTGATTAGTTTTTGGCTATGATCGGCTTGGCCATTTCTTTATAATACTTACTTGAAGAACTTACTGAATATTAAGTTCATTAATGTTTTGAATATGTTCATCAAAGTTTCAAATTTGTATTGTTACAATTTTAGAAGCTTCTAATTTTTTATAAAACATTACACACATACTTAAATATTATAGATATTCATTTTTAGAATAGGCTTCATATTATCATCACATTTAAGTTTAACAATTTATAAGCTGCTTAAACTAAGTTCTTATATATTAATAAAACAAAATGTGATTTTGTATTATTTATTCAAAAAATGTATGTTAATAAACATCCTAAATCAGAAAAAATAATCCTATTTTAAATACTTTCATAGGAACAGTGGAATGTGATATGGTTTAAAACCATTAAAACCAAAATTAGAAATAAATAAAAAAAATCATAAAATTTTCGTGATAAAAATATTGTACTGGGACATTTGGTAAAATATACTTCAAGGCAGGACTTGATGGTTCATGTTAATTTAATTACAAAATATGTAAATTCCTAAGCTAGAGTAAAAAAGAGTTATCTACAACACTAATTGAGTATTCGTATACTTATACCATATAACATTGATTATATCAGTATGCTTAAAGTCCTAGGCCTACACCACATATTGAAATGTATGAGTAAATGACTTCTAAAGTAGAAAATATGAAAAATAGGCAGTTCGATAAGTATATATTCTAAATTTATTGTATTAGATATTACATAAAAATTGTATCACCGAATTAATTTATAAACCTTAAAATAACATGAGTATCAAAATTTTAAAAACTTATTTACCAATCAGTCTTTGCAATAAATACTATTTGTCAATGTGATGAAATTTTGAAGATGGATTTCTTATGGTATATGGAAGCCTATCTAGAAAATTGGAATAAATAAATGTGTAACTTGATTTTGGCACCACTACTAAAATGATCGGCAATGTAATTACATATTAAAAACCTAACTAAATTAAAATGAACGAATAATGATAACGTGTACTTCAATAAACAATGAATCCCCAAATTAGGGAATGCATCTTTATCAACATCCGTCTTCAAATATATACAAATAGCAACTTAAAAAGAATCAAATACTTTTTAAGTGTTTGAAATTGACCACCTTCAAATAATTAGGCAGCTTCTTCCACAGGGGCAGGGGCAGGACTTGAATCAGCTGGCAATTTCTTCACTTTCACTTCCTGCACAGCCTCATCACTTACGCCATTTGTGGATCCATTTGTGACATTATCACCATTGACTTCTGCTTCTTTATCATTCTCTTTATCTGAATCAGCTCCATTGGTGCTAGATTCTACGACATCACCATTTCCCTCAATTTTGGATTTCAATCCATTAGTACCATTTGTTTCAACCCCATTGGATTCTTTTAAAGTGTGGTCATTTTCATCACTGGGTTTAGCATCACTAGAAGTTACATTAACATCAGCTTGAGCCTTTTCAGAACTCACTTCAGATACTTCTGCTTCTTTTACTTCCGCAGTACCGTTTGCTTCAACTTTGTTTTCAGCCTCATTTTCTTCACTGACAACAGTTTCAGGTTTCGTTGAATCTATTTCTGAATTTGTTTTGTCCTCAGTCTTTTCACCATTCTCTTTGATTACATCTGTTGTGGTCACAGCAACTGTTTCAGTTTCTGTTGCGGCTACAACAGATTCTTCACTTTCTTTGACAACTTCAGAAGTTTTTGCATCAGTACTATCACATGGTTCCTCTACTTCAACAGTTTCTTCACTAGCCTTGGCAGAGACAACTTCTTCAGATTCAGTCTTCTTACCTGAATCAACTTCCATAGGTTCAACTTCATTGGTTTCTGTTTTGGTCTCTTCAGGCTTTTGCTCCTCTTCTGGTTTTTCAGTCTCTTGTGGTTTCTCAGTTTCAGTCTCTGGTTTTATTTGTTCAACTTCAGCCTTCTCTGGTTCAGTCTCAGTTTTTTCAGTCTTCTCCACATCGGTGGTCATTTCAACTTCCGTTTCAGTCTTCTCCACATCAGTGGTAGTTTCAACTTTTTCAACCTGTGTAGTAGTACTTTCAGTAGTTTCCACAGTTGGTTCAACTTTGTCTGATGATTCTGTTGTGGTTTCAGCACTTACTGCTGGTACTTCAGTCATTTCTACATCAGTGTCCATTGGTGTTTCAGTATCTTTTACAACCTCTTCTGCAGATGAAGAAGTGAGTACTTCATTTGACTTTTCAGCAGAATCAACAACCTCAACAGATTTTTCTGAAGTTTCAGACACTTCATTTGATTTCTCAGCTGATTCGGTAACTTCTACTGATTTCTCTTCTGCAATTGTAGTGGCTACCTCATCTTGTTCAATTTTGGCAAGTTTTGCAGGATGCTATAAATTATAATATCAGATTATTCACAAAAATGCTCAAGAATAGTACATTTTATAATAACTTTAAAAAATACCATTGATAAACTGAAATTGAATTTAAAGCAACACTTTTTTTTTGAATATTTTTTAGTTGTAATAATAATTAAAAATGCTAAAGAATTTTGTGTGTGTATTTTGGATAATTTGAAATACATTAACAACTACTACAGAAAATATATTATCTACTTCAAATAACTATAACAACTACCAAATAAATTTCATTTTGTTACAAATTATGACTTTACGAACATACCTCTTCCTCATCTTTATCATCTGATTTTCTTTTAGCGCTAACTGCTTCTAAAGGTAATTCTGAGAATGATTTAATTATGGTATGCTTTTCTCTATCTTCATCGGTAAATGAAGTCTCAGAATCACGCTGAACTAGAACAGCAGCCATACCAGCTTCTAAAGCAGCATTTGCTTCTACAAAATAAATTCATATACTAAATATGTATTCATATACTCTCAGATTGGTAGGAAATGCTATCTTATAATGTATTCATACCACATAATTTTATTTAAAGTAGTTGCAGAAATTGAAAATGATTGGAAATATTATTTACCATTTACGATATCAGTCAAGAAAAGAATTTGATCACAGCCAATTTCTTTGCTGATGTTTTTGTAGCTGTCCACTTCTTGTTTACCGCCAACAGAGGTATCAAAATGACCTGAGATCTTGTCCAACAAATCGCCTTTTTCTGTGTTGCCAAACAAGAGTTTTTGGGCAGCTACACTTCCGCTTGAGTAAATATAGAGTTGGTGACCTGAGGCTGACCAGCTTGTTAGAGCTTCAGGAACATCATCATAGACACTAAAATTAAATGGGTAACATGTGTAATTTACCAGTAACATGGTCAAATGTATAAATTTTTAATTGTCTCTAAAGAAACATTATATTATATACATTTTTATAAGTTAAGATTGAAAAAATACTTACTGTCCCTTAATGGTACCATCTTTGTACCCCTTCTCCCAGATGAGTCCCTGCAATGTCTTAAGAGCTCCAGTCTTACGATCAAGGCTGATTTGCCATTTTACATTATCAACAACTGATTTGATAACAGCCTCACGGTTGCTATCATCTTCTTCAATTATCTCAACACAGCCTTCAACTGATTCTGATTTATCTTTAACAGCTAGTTCTCTCAATGCAGATACTGCAGATTTAACATCTGCAGACTCCCAGTTAGATGTTAGGAAGGATTGTACATTGTCCGAGGCATAAGGGAACAAAGTGTCCTGCAGAGAAGTTGAAATTAGATTTATATTAAATAGAACAAGTCGTTTGACTTGGTAGACGATCCAAAGTAAACCATCATAAATTCATCTACCTTTGATACAGAATACATTTTAAAATAAACATTATATACTTTATATACTAAAACAATAGTCTCGTAAGTGTTCAAGCATGATAAAGTTTGATATTTACTTACATTACAGAAAGAATAATTTTAAAATATTAATAAAGGATAATGAAGAGATAATCATTTTTAGTGTAATGGTGAAAAATACCACAATCGAATTATTTCATTACTATTAAGTAGTATAATACATTACCCTTGTTGCATATACATAGTAATTTTGACCAAAAGAGTCATAATAATTATTAGGGACAATATAATACAGATCAAGGATCTTTTGCATCTAATCACCTTTACAGTACAATTGATTATGTATTGATCAAGGAATAAAATAAAATTGTAGAAGAAGAAATTTATATAAGCCTGTGAGGTTCCAAGTGAATAAATAATAAATTAGACTAAAACCTACTAATTACTATGAAAGTTTTCAATTAAAACTATTAAATTCGTAAATAAAAACGAATATTTTCATTAGCCCTTGATATAACCCGATTGCCAACAATTTTAGCGAACAACAATTCAATCCAAAACTGGTTTGCAGAAACACAGATGTGCGGCATTTTCATGTGTCCACCATTAAGAAAGCCGAAACAAACAGAACAATTTTTTTTACCAAAATTCACTCACTCTTCGTCTAAACCATTATATTCTATCACACAAATCATTCAATTAACTCTATTTCGAATAAATGTAAACAATGGGTTTGTATATTTTGATGAAACATGAGATTTATGACCTACC